ATTGGCACAAACTGGATATCAACAGTTTTTCTTCATCCGTGCTTGGGAGAATGGACGCCGTTGGGCTGAAATTCTGACAGACCATGGTATTCAATCTATAGAACTTTCAAGTTTCTTGGATATGTGCAGAGATCCCAAATTGCTGGGTTGGAACTTTGGTATTCCAGGACCTCAGTGGGATAATTTTGGCAACACAGTGGAGGAAGCATTCAACAATCCTTTATTTGCCAAATTGCACTATCGCTTCAAGCAGGAGGAAGAGATTGGTCGTGTCATGCACCTTGTGTCTGAACTTGTCTGTGACTTTTTCATCAAGCTGCTTCCCAAGTGGGTTCTTGACCACTCGATCTTGTGGCAAGAGTTTATGATTTTGGATCCAGTCACAAATCTCCCTGTTTACAAGACTTCAGAGGATGCCTTATACGCAGAACGAGATCCAGAGAAGTATCATAGGCATTTTGCTATGAACTTCAAGAAATTCCGTTTTTCTGCAAGAGTTGTGTGGTATTTGATTGACCGTGACAGGAATCATTTAGAGAGTTTTCTTCACAACTCCAATAGCAGATTTGTGCAACATGCATGCTATCAACTTCGTGAATATGTTCAGGCGCGTGTTGCAGTTTCTGATCCCTTGTATGAGATGATCAAGAAGGAAGAGTTTGAACGCCAATACAATTCCAAGTTTTTGGAGGCGATTTCTTGCTCTCGTGTTGTAGTTGAGCCTGTAAGTTCAGGGACGTATGAGCCATCATCGAAGCTGAACTTAAAGGTACTACAAAACATTCTGAAGGGTGTCTACAAGATCCAGAAGAATGAGGAGCGTGCCAGAGAACGTGATGAAGAAGAAGAACAGGCAGCTCAAAACATCTCAAACTTGTTGGCAGATGACATGGAGCTTGATTTTGATGATGATAATGTGCCAGTATGGCGCTCCATTGTCGACAAGTATAGAGAAGGTGATCAGGTGCTACAAGGAGAAGCAGTGAAGATTACTCATCTTTTCAAAGACAAAAAGGACAATGAGAAGGCAACAGAAGTTTTCAGTTCAGAGAGGACAGATTTTCATGAGACCTCAGAACCTCTTCCAAGGACCATGGGAGAAAATCTTGTAGAGGACTTGCTCACCAAGGATGTCGTAGAACAAGCGTTTGAGGCAGGTGAAGAAGTTCCTCCATACACAAGAGTCTCCACTATTGCTGGTGGAATCCATACTGGTAGTATGGTACTTGTGAAAGATGAAGATATGGAAGAGGAAGTCCCTGAAGAAGATCCTGCAGTTGAACTCGAGAAAGATGAAGAAATGTTTGATGAGAATGCAGGTGCCTTTCCTTCAGAGGGACTAAAGATGGAAGTGGACCAGGAGGAAGTCAAGGATGAGTCAGCACCACACTTTCTGTCAAGAGAGATAGGTGAGGACTCAGCTGCATCGCACTTACCATCAGGTGAGATGGATGCTAACCTTGATGATACTCCAAGTCTGCCGAAATCTAAGAGAAGCCGCCTGAATAAAATTCCTGATCCTCATTTTCATGAAGAAGTTCAAGATAATGCAACTGTTGAGGAGAAGGAAAGGGCGGTGGAGAAGATAAAAGAGGTCAGAGAGGATGATGGAGAGAAGAGATTGGAGGCTGAAATCCAAGAATCCTTTCCATCTGAAGTAGTTGTTGACAAGGCTACAGTGGATGATGACAATACCTATGAGTTGCATATCTCACCACTGAAGTTGCTTGGAGAGCTTACAGGAGTTCCAGGTATTGGCCTTTACCAACAATGCTTCAGGGAAACTCACGCAAGATTGCTGAACCATGTTTGCTTCAGAAAAGGTGAGATTTCCCATCCTCATTATCAGTCGAGGATCAACGAGGATGATTTTGTTCGATCCATTCGAAAAGTCTGTCCAGTACCTCCACCTGATTGTTATGAGCACGACTCAGAGCATGATTTGAAGAGGTTTTTCATCAATGATGACCGCATCAGTTATTTGGATGGCAAGTATCAGGTCGATCCAAAGGCCTTTGAAAAGGCAGAGCATGCTCGAGAAGAATTGGAGGATACTAAGAAGGAACTTAAGAAGGAACTGGAATCATATGGTCCCAATGGACCCAATTGGGACTTTGTCACCTTCTATGAAGAGCTGTGCAGAAGGTTCCTCAAGGGAAGAATAGAAGAACAATATGGAACCAACTTATCGGCCAGCTCAGAGTCCTTGACGTTCTTATCCTGGAACTATGGCAACATGGTTCGTGGTCAGAAGTACACCACACCAAGGTTTCTCCAAGGACTTGATAGTGCAATGAGGCCACGCAAACAGAGCGCCATGTCACTTCAATATGAGCAATTTGAGAACAACCTTTTCTTCAATATGCTCTTCTTTTTACGTGCACATGTCGTGATTCTCCAGGAAGCTCATCTCCTTGTTCCTGCCAAGGAATTCATTGAGCAAAAGAATTGGACAGTTTGTTTCAATGATTGGGAGAATCTTGCAGTGATGGCTAGATTGGCACCAGGTGGATATGTCAAGATCATTGCTGGACATGACCAAGACCTTGGTCACTGTGAACAGCGTGATGTAACTTGGGCTATCTACGAGATTTGTTTTGGAAAAACAAGGCCTCGTCAAGAATTCAAGGATGCAGACTTTGAATTTGATGACTATGGTCCTGAGGACCAGCGTGTTCCACTTACTAGAGCGAACATGCATACCATCAGAGTCTGTAATTATCATGTTGATACACACCGTGCTGTGGATGCCCACCTACTGACAGGAGAACAGACAGCACTGATGCTTTATGAGTGTTTTGTCTATGAGGTGGACATCATTTCTGGTGATGCAAATAGCTTAGCCTACAGAATGTCTGGGTACAAAAGGCAGCCAATGGCTAACTATTATTATAGCACCATGCAGCATTGGATCCGCAGGTTTTCAGACGCCCCTTTAAAAGCAGATCCTGGTATCAAAGCACCTATTCCCAGAACATTTTACAGTTCATCTTCACAAGTCCTCAAGCAGTGTGAAGTTTACTTTGACAAACTCTGGGAAGAATATTCTACTGTTGAAAAAGAAGAATACCAGGGATCACAGCTTGGAGATACATGTTTGTCTACCATTGTTGAATGGGGTCATTCGATGAGTGAAGAGGAATATGAAAATTCCACAGTGAGCACGAAGGAGTTCATCTGTAATTTTTCAGAGAACTTTGCTATGATTGACACGGAGGTTATGTGCTCAAGGCCCACTGACGAGGACAGTCATGGTCCAATGTTTATTTCACTCGGACCAGCTTCCTCTTCATCTGGAGACAGAAGACAGTATCGCATGGGAGCAACTCTTCATGAGGCGAAACTGCGGAGGAAGGAGAGACAGAAAGAGAATAAAAGGAAAGGAAGGCCGCCAACTTCTGATCAAGCAGCTCCATCGACTGCAGCGGCATGAAACTTAGAGCGGAAGCTAACTTTTAATGATGGCTAGGAAGTGAAGATACTTCTGATCACAGTTGATACTTGCTTCCAGGCTTGACTTTAAGTTACCAGGCTGAAGTTTTAATGGATTCTGGTTTGCAACAAGGAGAAACTTTTTGTCAAAGAAGATACTCCAGCATTCCAGGTTTATACGCTTTAGCATGCAGATAAATAGAGTTTACTAAACGGTTATTATCTGCAGGTAGGTATGGACAGTTTTTCAGAACTGATGATAACTACCACAGCCGCTCTTTTGAAGTGACCCCCAATGGACAACCATTCATGGTTGATGATTAAGTCATTTCAGAAGTTTGCATTTGTAGTGCAAGTTTTGTACATACATTTGCCGGTGTCTCCTTCCTTTTTGTTTTTGATGTCAATGAGAGAGAGTCCTTTTGATGCAGTTTAATTTTGTATAAGTCCTGTGTATGGAAGCGGCCGAGACCACTTTACGAGAAGAACATTCCTCGGACCGAATCATTCACGCTCCTTGCATGTTGCAAGGCATCTTAATTCATTGCAATTTGTGCGGTCTTGAATTTTAAGTTCTTCGTTATGCGAGTGTCGTTTACTGCTTTTACAGGTCTCTGTATAAGAAAGCCGCTTTCCTTTGAATTTAAGTTTCTTTGAAGCTCTGGCTATTTAAGGGCTATTGAGCGCCGGTATACGGTATCTTCGCCGGTTGAACAATACAGTCTCCAGCCGAGATACATTGTCGTTGACTCTGTAGTTGAGGTGAGTCAGCTATTGCTCCCTCACTGTATTTAGTAGACCTTGAGAATACCTTTTCTATAGTATGAAACATACTAGAATTGGTAAGTACAAGGCACCGTGGTTTCCTTTTAAGCTTACTAGAGCTTGCTGGACTGTTTTAGCCCTGCGGTAGAAAATAGCGTGCGACATACGCAATAGGCAGGAGTGGACATGAATTTTGTGCCTGTTGAAATGTAGAGGCATACTTGTACAGGTTCCACTCCAGTGGCCTATCTAGTGTGTCCATGCTTGACTGCCATAAGGCTCAAGAGACGCTAAGAGGATAAGACTCTGCCGTGTACGCCCTAGTCACTCTTTCACCCCTCCCCTCCCCTCCCTATCTCCCTCCCTATCTCCCTCCCTATCTCCCTCCCTATCTCCCTCCCTATCTCCCTCCCTATCTCTCTCCCTATCTCTCTCCCTATCTCTCTCCCTATCTCTCTCCCT